TTTTTCTTTTTTAAGCACACTCTGCATAGCGGTAACAAAACCCCCACCGAACTTTCACAAGTTTATGTAGTTCTGAACAGTCCTCCAATCATTTGCAGGATTTCAGGATTCATAAACAACCCTCCTCTAAGCTTTCAGAACTTTAAATAGCAACATAGAACAAAAACATTCTTTGTAACATGCAGTAGACTAAAGACAAATACTACATTTGGAAAAAAAAAAGAAAAGAAAAAAAAGGTGCTAACCACAATGTTTGGGGGGTTGTGAGCCATCTATTCAAAGAGTGCTATGTTTCTATGAGATGGAAAGTTTTATGGTAGCCTGCACTAAATGTACACATGCAAATAGCAGCCATTATCTCTGTACTAAACATCAAAGTTAGAAACAAGACTTGAAATCAATTCTTAAACTCCAATTTGTTAAAACACTTGATTTTCTATAAATTTGTTCAATGCCGATTTCATAGATACTACTGTGGGATGCTTGTCTTTATGACTTGTTGATCTAAACCTAAAACTGCCTATAGATTTTTCATCATGGCAGCACAACAACAAGCTCTGAGCACAAGATCCATAGAGGCTGGGGTCTATCACACCAGGCAAGACCCCAGGTGCAGGCTGTATATATACTGGACATAGTGGTGGTAGACGAACAGAAGAAGACGGCCGTAATGATAGATGTAGTGATACTGAATGACAGCAACATGGTTAAGGAAGGAAGAAGGAACACGAGAAGCTGGTGAAGTACCAAGGGCTCAGAGACGAGCTCAAGAAAATGTAGAGGGTAAAGGTAACGGTGGTCCCAATGGTAATCGGAGCACTCGGTGCAGTGACTCCAACAGATCCCAGGAATAACATCCAAGATCTCTGTCCAGAAGAGTGCAGTCGTGGGAATGGTAAATGGACTGATTCTCAAAGCGCTTTACATAACATGCCACATTCACTCAAACACAGTCATTCACACTTTCTTCTATGGTTTTAAGTGCTCACTAACTAACATTCATGCACATTCATACTGTGATGGATGCATCAGAGAGCAACTTGAGGTTTGTATCTTAGATACTAAGGATACTTGGCATGCAGACAGAGACCTCCTGAGCTACAGCCACCCCAGCTAAGATACTGCTCAGGACCCTCAAGCCCTTGAAACTGTCATCACCAACAACAAGGCATTTACACAGAGTATGCATGTCAATACTTCCTGTGTCATTTCTCATTATTACACATAATTTATGGACATATATGGTTTGATTTCTTTGCATGTGTCGATTGGATGGATTATTGTCGACATCTGGTAAGAATTTCATATCAACAGCACTTTTAGAAATGTATTTACTTGGAAAAGTGGCGTTCAATAGTTATTTTAGCTGCTGTACTGTGTATATATCAAGATAATATGGTTCCTAGAACCATTTTACCAAAAAGATTGGCTGATGAGAAAAACAAGCAAGCTTACCTGCTGTGAAAGAAACAAAGAAAAAATATGTTTTTTCCATGCCGCATGCATTTACATGCATCCTCTGACAGTGTGGGGTCACGAGAGATGAGAGTGTGGTGTCACTGCCACAAATTTGCTTCTGGTTCAGCCTTTGCAGCTGCACTTTTCCTGTTGCTGATGTGGGCAGTGATACTGCAGCCGAAACCTTCAACCTGTCATAAAAACAAGAAGACATACATGAATTTTAGAAATCTGGTACTTCTCTGGGAAGTCAGGCATTAATCAAGCATAACGTTCAAACAATAAAACATGTTTTTCTGCTCAGGAATACAAGTAAAAACTGTAATTTGATATCTTAAAGAAAAATAAGAACAAGCTTTACTGTTCCTTCTGCTTTTTGTTAAAGTCAATTGAAAATGTATATTTTAGTACAAATAATATAATTGATCTCCAAAAGTTGATTGTGTTCATCTGGACGTTTTCAGTGGGAGAAACGTTTCGTCACTCATCCAACTGACGTCTTCAGTCTCAGCTGACTGCAGGTTTCCAACCTTATAAACAATATATTTGCATAATGACTGAAACCAGCCCACTGAAGGAACGAAGGCCTGGAAGGACAGTTGGGAGGACAGTTCCTTCATCATTGTTCCTTCAGTGGGTGGTTTCAGTCATTATGCAAATATATCGTTTATAAGGTTGGGGAAACCTGCAGTCAGCTGAGACTGAAGAAGTCAGTTGGATGAGTGACGAAACGTTTCTCCCACTGAAAACGCTACGTCCAGATGAACACAATCAACTTTTGGAGATTTACTTACCTGGATGATGGAGAATGCATCTAGACAATACAATTGATCAAAGAACTCGTGCATAGTGGTGGATGACGCATTACAGAAACCTAAAATAAAATATCTAATCAGTGTGCAGCATCGAGGAAGCTAAAATAGTGAAATGTGTTTTTTACTCATTTCTTTTGTGAGTTGGATTCATTATATCATTACAATAACTTCTTTAATTTAGTGACTTGAAATGATGTAAATTTGGAGCCATGTTGGTGTATCCGCTCCATTTACGCTCTGACACTGCTTAAGCTGAGAGACGCACATGCAGAGAATGTGTGGGTCTCATACATGGGGATAGCAAACGCCTCCATAGTGCCACAAGATGTCATTGCAGTAGCCTCAGCTCACATGCAGAGAAAAGTCTTGCTCCACCTCTTGAAACTCTCTTGTGCATTTATGACAGTAGCAGGAGTACAGAGCACTAATGGTGTGGTTTGGGAGAAATCGTCTGCTTCTAAATATACATAAGACTTTCAGAGATGGTGAAAGAAGAGGGCAGAACAGGATTTAAGTCGTATGTTTGGGTGTTTAGACTGACAACAAGCTTACAAAGGCTGGTTACAAGAAGGGATGGGCATTATATTTCCTATGCAAGCTGAGATATTTCAAAGGTAGCAGCAACATGCTTTGTTTTGTGGTGAGTGCACTGTATTTTGTTGTGGTCTGTTAAGGGAGCACCAAGAACAGCAATTTCAACAATGTTTATGCTAAATTTTCCCAATGAGCACGAGGGTTAAAATGTTCTCGTTTCACTATTTCAGGCCTTCTCCTAGGACAGGGGTCGGCAACATGCGGCTCTATAGTCTTTATACTGCGGCTTCACGTGGTTTGGAAAAAAATGATGTTTGCACGAACATGCTTTTTTTCTTTATCCGGTTGTTCAGTCTGACGTCATTAGCCGTGTCTGGGCCTAAACTCCGCTGCAGGTCCATATGTCAAACGATCACTGTGGCATTACTGAGAGTTAAAAACTGTCTAAAGTCTTTCATCTTTAATAAAATGATCAGCGTTCTGCTCTACCAGGTGTAACAATTGAGTTTAACATCCAGGCATCCATGAAAACGGAATTTATGACATTTAACGGAGTTAGAAGTTAGCAGGGAGTTAGCTCGCTAGCTTCTATCTAAATACAATATAGCATGTCCTGACTGCGGGGTTTTGGAAACAAATTAAAACGTACAGCTCTGCTATCACTTCCAACATAAATGAAGACAGAAAACTAAACAGCAGTGACGTTTGTAGGGTTACTGAAGTTGGGCTAGCTGGTATATAATGATGTGCTACGTGACCGCTAGCGACACAGCTATGTTAGCATAATATAAACAAGCTAACTTTTTTTCCCACTTGATAAAAGTTAACGTGAGTGTTCTCGGTGGTCAGGAACAAATGTAATCACATGGCAGGATGCTGTAAAAGGACCAAACTTCAGCCAGGAGAACAACTGAGATAATCCATCCACAATACGAGGTTAGTCATTCATATACTGCTGCATGGGCTGGGCTGTAGTTACATCCTAAGGTTTTAAAAACTGAGCTTAAATAAATGATTAGTGGTAATAAAAGCCGAGGGAGGTCAACAGGGATCACTGACTGTTTTAGGAGCTTTTTGAGATTAAATAGAAGAAAATACAAAACATTAAACATGTTAACAACATAAAAGCCATATTAAACGCAGACTACTTTAGGCCCGGAAGTAGGATTCGTCGCATCATCACTGAACAACCGGATTGACCACTTTACACACATGGTTGCTGTAGCCACACAGCCGGCTGCAGCTGTCCAGCTCACAGCCCACACACACCAACACAACAGCAGAGAGAGCACAGACTGACAGGATGCCGCTCAGGTGCCTCCCCTGCAGCGGCACTGCAGACCACAATGCGACACACACATTAGCCATGTAAAATAAATATTTATCCAGATATTTTGCAAATATTTATTTTTCAGTTGATTTTTTCCAATTATTTTTAAAATTCAGGTCAAAGCTCCGCTACAGGCCGCAAAATCCCAAAGGTGATATAAGGATGACGGCTCACTACAGTTTTTGTTTGCTATATGAATAATTTAAGTTCAGCTTTTTAATTCATTTAAAAGAGACCTTCACCTGGGTGTATCTCCTTTTTGTTATATTTTTTTAAGAGTTCAAAATGTGTTCATTACATAAATAAAATTAAATTTTCTCTGTAGCACTTCATGGATTTCATAAGCAACACAATTTAGTTGTTTATACAAAGCGTAAAGGTAAAAAACAATAACAGTGTTATCTTCATTTTAGATGTCAAAAAGTATTTGCTGCTCCCAGTGTTTTCTTTTCTGTGGAAACTGGGTCCAAACGGCTCTTTGGGTGTTAAAGGTTGCTGACCCCTGTGTTAGGACATTAACATGACCTGTAGGGCTGTTTTATTCTAGGACATCACATTGTATTTCACAGTTGTACATCATGTAATCTGTCCTAAACTTCACATGCTTTATAGAAACGACTGCGTGCGTATAATCACCAACAGCTCGCCCAAGCTGTAGCACAGGTCATCTGCCCTCTGTGTTTGCAGCTTTAATTTCTGTCTTTAGCATTTTATATCTGCTGCATTTGAATGCTAGAAAAGGAAAGTTAGACAAATGACTGCATGAGACCTGTGAGATGAGAGCATGTGGCAAGCTATTTTCTGAAGCCTTCATCTTTGTTGTTCCCCCACCCACCCTCAGTGTCTGCTTTCTTTCCCTTCTCTAAGTCTTCTCACATACGTAGCTATAACTTTGCCTCCTTCACATCCTGTCTTTCTTGGGAGCTTGGCATTACTTCACTGAATTGTTCATTTACTGAGTAAGTAAATACTTGCAGTTTTTAGTTTGGTTTGTTACTTTTTAATATTGTATCTTTCTGGTATTATAAAGTTTCCCATTTATTTTAACTCATTTCTTTATTGGACATATTTATTCACCTCCTTGTCTTCTGCCTACCTGTTGTAAATGTTCTTCATTCTCAAAGAACAAACGTTTCCTGTGTTACAGTATGAGAGAAATCTATCTGAATTGAAGGTAATAAAATATGTAACATGCGGCTAGAATCAGCTTCAGTCCTGGGATGATTTAACTAAACTGAAACTGAGTTTCCTTTTACAGAGATTCATAAGAGTTCAGCAGCTGTCATTATTCATGAGGAACTCTAATGTGGTCGCTGCAATGAAAGCTTCATTACAGTGACCACACTATAAATATTTAACATGGTGGGCCACGTGCAGATCTCAGTGATCTGAAGTGGACTGAAGCAGTGAAACTCACTTTGTTGTCAGTGAAAAGAACAATTAGTCCTGTGTATAGAACAGTCAGAATTCACAGGTGCCAGTTAGAAAAACCCCTGATTACTGCAGTTGCTGTTGCAAAGTTGCAGATAGGTGCAAAATCGATTTCCTGTTTTTTCAGTGAAATACAGATGCAGAGTGCACAGAACTAACCACATCCTGAGCCTGAACGAGTGTGAGTCAGTGAACAGGGCAAATATAACCTTTTTACTTTAACATTTGGCATTCTCGTTATTAGTGGAGTGTTCTGTGCAAACGGTTTTCATGGCTTCACAAAAACTGTAGACTCAGTTTCCTGTTCTTTGCTAACAGGAGTGGAAGCCAGTGTGGTTTTCTGTTGTCCATCTGCTTAAAGTTTCATGTGTTAGCATTCCAAGGTGCTCTTTTTGAAATGCACAACGAAGAGTACACAACACAAATAGAGAAAGGTTATTACAGTTGTCTTCCTGTCTGCTCAAAACAGCCTGGCCATTCTGACCTCTGGCATCAACAAGGCGTTCTCACACAGGAAGCTGCTGCTGCTCTATTTCTGACCAGTTTCTTTGTAGACTGTAGACATGGTTATATGGGGAAATCCCAGTAGATCAGCAGTTACTGAAATACTCAGTACAACCAGATTCACTTAAATCACCTTTCTTCGCCGTTCTGATGTCATCTCGACCATGACTGCATTCCTACATGCATTTAGTTGCTGCCATGTGATTTGCTGATTTGCATTAACAAGCAGCTGACCAGGTGTACCTCGTGAAGTTTTCAGCGAGTGTCCGTGTGCTTTTCATCAGTCAGTCTTGTATTTTTAATTATCCTAAAAGCAACTCTTACTCTTACTCTTATGACAGCATACTTCCTGTAACTAATACAAGCATGACTGATTGTCACTTCACACAGGTGTGTGTCTCATAATCATAGCTGAACATTTTTTTCAGATATCAGTTTATAAAATATGATGTTAATAATGTCAATAGTTCAATTCTAAATAAGATGCAAGTGAAAAACCTGTTTGCCTGGCTTCTAGCTAAATCACAGCTGCTGTAACTGTACAGTGTGTTTATCATTTATGATGTTAAATATAGCAGATTTCTTGCTTCTTCTTCACCTTTGTACCTCTGCTAAAGTAGTTTCATCTCCAATCTGTCAGACTCTATGCATCTGTTGTATACAGTGTAATGCAAAGTTCCCCTCTTAGCAAGCACTGAGTAATGTGGGAAAGAAAAACCTCTGAAAAACCAGAGCAAATTGGTGACGCTGTAACCACGAGACAGACACATGTTCAGAATGGTAATGCAATATGCAGGAGAAGAGATAAGTAGCAGGAAAAAAGACCAGCTGCACAGTGAGGAGACACTAAGGTCATATCATGGAAGAATGAAAATAAACATTATAAATCATTTTTTTAAATATTCAGGCAAATGTCTTGAGTCTATTGAGTTATTGAAGTTCTTTAAAACATTTAAAATATGTGCATTAACAATATGTAACTATTTACCTGCTGGATGGAGCTATAGAGTACAGGTACTGCTGTATCTACTGTATACAGTTCCAAGTAGAGAGGAAAGTTGCTGGCAAACAATCACATCTGCACATTTACAGAAATTGTTTATTGCAAACAATGTGGGGTTTATGTTTTTACACACACGTCTTCTTGTGTGTGCCTTTGTAGTGTCTACCTGTTGTTGCCGCTGCTTCTTTTTCCAGCTCTCCACCACGGCATGCTTCTTTAGTAGGGGAGGCACCCACTGTTGACCATCTCCCTCCCCACAGCCCCTACTGGTCACCTGGTTCTGCCAGATGTTTCTGATTGTTCAAAGGGAGTTTTTCATTCCCAAAGTGTCATTGTTGGGCTTTCTGTATTATTGTAGGGTCTTTACCTTACAATATTAAGCGCCTTGAGGCAACTGTTGTTGTGGTTTGGTGCTATATAAACAAAACTGAATAATCATTTAGTGTTTAAAGAAACATTACCTGACAAATCTGTTCACAGGTTGTTCATTGAGTTTAGAGCTACTGAGGTCATTTCTTGTGATTCACATCATTTTAACTGCAGTTTCTGCTTTTTGTCTTTTTAGTGATCTACAGAGTCACCATGAGGACCAAAGCCATCCTTCTTATGTCAGTGTTTATACTGATACTCTTGATTCCCGTATCTTTTGCTACCAGCACTCAAAACTATACTCTAGAGAACAATACGACATCTACTCAAACTTTAGGCTATTCACACTCTCCCTCTGGAGCTACAAACAGCACAACAACATCCTCCCCAACATCCAATTCAGTTACAACCGTTGTTCCATCAGGTAAAACAAATACAACTCTATATCGCAAAACTTCCTCACCCTCCACAACCGAAAAGGCAGTGAAGATTTGGCTTATTGTCATTCTGTTGGTCATCATGGTTTTGATGGTGCTTGTGGCATATCTCCATCACGTGTGCCAGCAGTCCGACCATAGCGGCTCTGTGCCCAGGTTCCTATTAGATGTGAGGGGGAGGCTGAGAACCTGGATCAGGAACCTGGAGGACCACCTGGGTGTTCAGCTTTGGCCAGGGGACAAGAGACCAGCAGAGGATGCCATGGAGGAGGATGCCATTGAGGACACAGAAGGAGGACAGGCAGATGAGGGAGAGGTGTGGAGGGGTGGAGAAGGAGCTAATAATGAACTAAGCAACGAGGAAAAAGGAGAACACAAGGAGGAAGACAGCGACACTTCGGATGACTGCTCAAGTTTGGAGGGGGATGATCTGAGGGAGAGGGCACTAAACAGACAGAATGAAGAGGAGGGGAACCAGAGCAAGGACAAGGATGAGGATGAAACGAGTACCTCAAGTGATGAAGGTCAAAGTCATTCAGAAGGAATGAGTGGTGGAAATAAAGATGAAGATTCTGAAGAGACTGCACTTGTAATCTCCCCTCAGCAGGATTTATGTGATGTGACTGTTTTATAGTGAAACGATGCATGAGTGAAGGAGAAGATTTTGACTGTTTTTAATGTTACAGAGTTTAGATAGTTACTTTATCGACACCAAATCAATAAATAAATCAATACATTTGCCTTTTTCATAGTTGTCTCTGTGCTCTACCACTGAAACTCCGATGTAAAAAAAAACAAACACTGTCAGTGTGTGATGATCTTCAAATAAACCTTTAAAAAAATCCTCCTCTGTCTGGAATTAACATGAAATTCAGATGGCACAAAGACAGCTTTTTTACTGATGAGTACATAAGTGAGGGGACTACACCTTACAAAGTTATATTCAAAATACCTCTCTTCAAAAGCACTCCAGTATAATGAGCAGACACCGTCCATGGGCTTTTTCTCCAAAGGCCCATGGACAGGTGATAAGAAGCATCAACACCAACTAATTTAAAGATCTATTTGCCAGATATCAAATATTAAAATAGATTTCTATTTCTCATCAGCCCTACTGTTGCACATTTATTATGTGAAAATGTCTATTTATTGCCTTTTCTCACTTCCAGATCTCTTATAGGAAAAAGCTCCAGATTCTGAGGTCGTCAGAAGTCAGAATTGTTCGAAATAGCACCATCTAAATAAACTTCTAAGGACACATTTGTTGAAACACTTCCACCAGGCTGTCAGACGGGCTGCTATTGTTAATGATTTCAAACAAAGACACCCCAGAGATCCCTGATAAATTTAAAGTATGCAATTAAATTGTTGCAGGATCACATCATGGCTTCTATTCTTTGGACATGTAATACCAACAATAAAAAACCCGGAGTGGATAAATTACATCTATTATAAACAGCCCCAAAAAATGAATTCTGTTCATCTGGATGTTTTCAGTGGGAGAAACGTTTTGTCACTCATCCAACTGCCTTCTTCAGTCTCAGCTGACTGCAGGTTTCCAACCTTGTAAACATCTGCATAATGACTGAAACCAGCAGCACTGACGGAACAATGGGCTGGGAGGTCAGTTTATGATCATTAATATGCAAATTCTCATGACCACTGAACAACGCTCACTGATCAACGGCCATGAGTCTCATTCACAGAGAGCTGAATGGCTGCAATCACAGCATGTAAGATGGTGACAGATGGACCCTTAGGCCATCTCTGAATGGAGGATGGGGCCTTTCCCTTTTCACGTAAATGGCCTCCCTTGACTCCGCCCTCAAACCAGCGTTCCTCCCTGTCCAGAAAAGGAAAAAGGATAAAGTTTAAAGTAAAAGTATAACGTTGCACTTGGGGAACTATGAGTATCACTAACATGGCTGACAAAAAGGTCCAACAGATTGTGTCTGCTGCTGATTCTTCTTTTGTGGGAGTTTATGGTATCAGCAGCTTTGTTCATGGTAGTTACGTGTAGAAAAACACTGGCTGTAACTTTGACCTATGCATGCTTACATGCATGACAGACACGAGAAGGAAAGCAGGCTGTGTGGCGAGCGTTGCAGGTGAAACCATGGCTCCAGCACAGAAATAGAAAGATCTTCCTTAACAGCATTAAGCTGCCGCTCAGATTTACTGAAGGTGCTGAAACACGACTCCAGATCTTTCCGACGCCCCGCTTATGTGCCAATTACAAATGATGATGGCAGCTCCACCAAACACAGTGAAATTCTACACCAGTTTTCATCCAGCCAGTCCAGGGTCACAGTGAGCCTACAGGCTGCGAGAGGCCGGGTACACCCGGGATAGACTGACGGTCCAGGGTCACACGGCTAACACAGAGACAGACAAACCACTTTTCATTAGTGTCTTTATTAATTAAATATATTACCAACTTCTGTTTACATGATTTACATTGCCGTGCAGTATTGTACAGCAGTGATGTTTCTGAGGTGATTTAAATGAAACTGTTGAACATCTGTCAGCCCCATGACGAACAGATGTCTGCGTGTTTCTACTTTGCAGCGAGTTTTTGTTGAATGTCTTTGTATCGCAGGAGCTCCTCATCAGAAACTGATGACTTGAAGTTTTCTAAAGCAGTGGAGAAATCCTCAGTAGAGAGGAGGACAGGAGAGTCTTCAGAGTCTAGACCTGACAGGGAGAGAGGAAGGGATGCAGAGGGTAAAAGGTTTGAAGGGAGAAGAGCAGACAAGTCGCGCCGATCTCACCGCCTGTTCAAAAGTTTAAAGATGTGGAACAGGGATCTTTTTGCATCATTTTTGTCAGACCAGCAGAATCAGCTGTTAACGGGCACAACTTTCAGCTGGCAGACTGCAGCTGCACTCAGACTTTTCTATACATATAGTCCATCAGTGTTTACTACAAATAACAACAAGCACAGAAAGAGGAACAGGAAGTGTATCTTTTGTGATCACATTTTTGTTGTTTTTACACAAATCAAATTGTTAAATGTTGTCATTGTGTTACTTAAATTTGTAAGTCTTAGTTCAAGCAGCATGATCAAAGACATTCTTTTGTTTCTGTTGACCTCCCCAGCCTGTGGGTGGGGGAGGCTGTAGTGTTTCATTACAGGGACACATCCTATGTGAGGGTTCTGTTTCTTATTTAGTGAGGATGTTTTACTTCCTGCCTTTATGACCTCACCTGTGTTCGTGTTTAGTGAGACTGTTAGAGGGGTTAAGCCATATACGGGGGGGAGATTAGCCTTTGGTGAGCAGGAAGTCACACAAACGCACCCCCAAAACACGCACCCCCAAAACACGCACACGCACACACACACACACACACACACACACACACACTATTTTAACCTTTTGTGACCATAGGGGGATTTTACAATGGGTGCTGCTTGTGTGCACTGTAACTGTTTTCAATAAAAGGCGGCAAGAGGAGGTCGGGGTTGAAGTCGTCTGTGGTTGGATTCAGAGACACCGACCGGGGCTTCCCAAAGAGCTCATCGCACAGTTAGGTGGTGTTTCGATGAGGTGTAGTGTACGGAGCAGTCCCTGCTTCACAGTAGGGCTGCCACAAACGATTATTTTGATAGTCGACTAGTCACCGATTATTTTTGCGATTAGTCGACTAATCAGATCATCTTTCATTGGACGTACAGCTTATTGCACCAGCAGCATCTGGTCTTATATAACTATCATTAGCTTACAGCTTGAAGTGTTTGTGCTAACTAAAAATAAAGACAAGATGGTAGTTTATTAATTTTTAATGAAATTTGCAGATTGTTTCGGTGAAGTTTAATAAACTCCTTGCTATCTAAAATATAACAGGACACCGGAGTATATTCTCCAGCGTCTCAAACTTCTGATAATCAGCTGTCTGCTTGACAGTTTTAGCTGTGCAAAAACTATAACTTTAATCTCAGCCAAACCGATTTACTCAGGAACAAATAAAATACTAAAGAAAGCCAAACAATAACATTTTTAAGTTATCTAAGTGACTTATATATATGTTTAACCTGACTAGCGAAAGACAGCGGTGGGTTTGAAAACGATTTGCCGGGAGTCCGGTGTTCTCACGGCTCTAGTGAGCCTTGCCCCCGCCTAGCTAACGACGTCTCCGAAAACGTCGGAGTGCTTTTGAAAATATGTGGTGTCTTGATAAACTGAGCAGATATTTGAGGTTTACACAGCTACATTCTCGCCTGAAAATATGTTAAACGTTTATTTTGTGACCCAGAAAGAATAATAAGAGTAAAGTTAAAACTAACTAGCTGCCGCCATTGTTGGAAACTGAGCCGGGCTGCGCTATGAATTCTGGGACAAAGCTTCTTCTCGGGGTTTAACGGCAGCTGGCATCCTTGTACATGCAGTGCTGCCATCTTCTGTTTCAGTCCGTTATTACACTCTTAAATCCTACTACTCATTCCTGTGTCCTTTGTGATCTTACAAAGCTTCACACGATGCGTCGACTATTAAATTAGTTGTCGACGATTTTAATAGTCGACATAATCGTGACTAGTCGACTAATCGTGGCAGCCCTACTTCACAGTCAGGGAGAGTAAAGCCTACGTGATTCACCTCAGATTTCGTGGAACAAACAACTAGACACAAAACTAAAGTCAATTCTTGAGTTGGATTTATGTCTTAATGATAGGTGGGTAAACACTAGGATTTAACAGGCAGCAGCAATCTACTATTGCTATTGTTGTTTGACCACGCTTGCAAAGACTCTGTTAATAATCTATACAGTGTATGATCCATCAGAGCACATATAACAAGTTTAAAGCCTGAGAGGCCCAGCAGTACTAGCTGACCACAAATCAGTTTGAGTTTTTGCACAGCTATTCTACCACCGTTGTCAGCCCAACAATTTGAACTGTAGATTACAATGGAAAATCTCACAACCCCATTACACTTATCAGCAGCAGAAGAATGAACAGTTGACTGGAAAACCCTGTTAGAAGGACAAGACCTGCAAAAACAATAGAAATGTCAACATATTGCAGAGAGCAGACGGGGAGAGCCCTGTGTATACCTCTTCTGGAGCAAAGAGAAAAACCAGCTTCAGACAAATCTGCTAATGCAACTGTGCTAAAAGGGACTTCCTTCCCTCGAGATCCGGTTAAAAAGTGACAGAGAAGGTCTGAGTAAACAAATCAACAGTAATAACGATAAAATCTGCATTATTTATTACGTTCCCAAAAATGAAAGTTAAGTTCATGGGTAAAGGCAACAACAGGTTAGAAGATATAATTAAAATAAAAATGAAATCAGAAAGAAAAGACCATTATCACAGTGACAGACCAAACCAATAGTTCCACAATCTTGGGAATAAACTTCCCCAAGAAAGTAATTGGGTCACTTCCCTCGACTGACTCCATGAGATTTGGGATCCTGACATTGTGTTGTCTTCATCAGCCCTCCAAATATATCACCAACCATTTGTTCAACCCTCTTGGTTCTCACTCGGGATAAACCTTTTTGATTATCTATTCAACGCCCAAGGCCTTCGTTCATTTCAGGACTTAAGGACACGTTTTTCTTCTTACTTCGTGTATCTGCAGCTCAGATCAGCTTTAAAAGCATATGGTGTCCCCTGGGACTCTCCTCTTCCCTCTCATCCCATGCTGGAATGGATCTTGCCTAACTCTGGCAGACCTTCTGTTTCCAAAATCTACAACAAATTAGCTGAACAGGGTATAAAGCCCCTGCCCACTGAATCTATTTGGGTCAGGGAACTGGGAGGACTACAGGTTAATGTAGACTGGGATACAGTGTGGTCTAATCTGAGTTTGACTTCTAAGAACCTG